AATGATATCTTCTAACATTTGCTGAACATATGCCTACACTGCAGTTCAGCGTGGAGTTTGTGCTGGACTGTCTATATTTCTTCTTAATTTGTTTGTTTTAGCTAGTTGAGAATGTTCTTTTTTTACCCACCACTGTGCTGAACTGAGGAGCCAAAAACCTCTCCTTGGAGTTGTGCTCCCTTGCGCCAGGAGGGAATATGAGTCTATTTATTTATTTATTTTTAATTTATTTGATCTGTTTTAATACCCAATAAAGTTGTTGTTTTTTCCAACTGGCATGACAAGGCTCTGACTATTTTTAAAGAATGTGGTTCATTTGATTTAATCTAATGAATGTTTAGTGCTGTTGAAAATAGCTGGAGCCGGAGCCAAGAATAATGTACTGAAATGTGCTGGTTGAGCAAGGACTGCTTCACTCTGCCAATTTGCTTTCCCTCCAATTGTTCAGATTTACCTGGTTTTGCGAATAGCATTTGCAGGCAAGACATATGGATCAATGTGCTTTTTAATACTAAGTCTAAAGACCGATAATGTCAGAGCCCTATTTTGCCACAGTCATTTCGAGACGCATTAAACAATAACAACTCTTCTTGCTGTTCAGTGTAGGATGTCCACCCTCTCTTTAAAGGGAACGTGAAATGCTAATACCCTTTTATTGCACACAGGAAAATTGAGTCATGAAATGGTCATTTTTTCCCCTAAAGTCACCCAGAAAGCAAGGGGGAGAATCAGTAATGAAACTAGTCAGCTAGCATCTACTGGGGTCCTTAAGCTGCTGTGTAACTCCTGATTTCTCCATGACCTGAAACTAGACCATAGTCAGAAAACAAATTCTGCTAAGTCCTTGCTCCTGGTGTTCCTCACTGACTGGTTCTCAGCAAATCCATGTTTACTGTCCTGCCTGCAATATCCGAATTGCTCTGCAGAGGTACCTAACGCTCCCTATTAACAAAGCTTAAATTTCATGCATGTCTGTGCGCTACCTGAATATGTCTCTGCAAGTCATGTCACAGGTTTAAATGCTGTATTTAAAACTGTACAAATCCATCCTCCTTTTGCCATCTATGAGTTATTTCTGTTAGATAGCTCTCTCCCTATTCCTTCATAAGAAATCAGTAGCTAATACTTAAGCTTCATTGGATTAAAAAAATAAATCGGCCATAATACATCTTACTCTGTGATAGTGGTGCCCGTAGGGATGGATTTCCTGCAGAGATCACTTTACACCCTAAAGCACAATGTAGGATTGACTTGCATGAGTAATGAACAGATGCTCTTGACGGCTATTACATTATTCATCTCTCTATATATGTGATGGGGGGAAGGAAACAGCACCTGTTACTATGGGAGAAATGCTGTCGCTGCTGTTCTGCGTTACAGACCTCCAGGGCAATCTGGGCCAGGCATATTTCACTGCATTTGTGTTGACCCAAATGAAGCCATGCCAGTTTACATCCACTAGTTATTTTGCCCTGTGTTTCCCTCAGATAGGTCCTTCGGTTTATAACCTAAGAAAATGAAATAGCTGTTGCAGGTATGAGGGAGCACTGGAGACGGTGTAAAAATTTATAAGGTCCATCTTTCACCCCAAATTTTGCACAAGAGGACTGGGTATTAGAGCTTATTTCCCCTCTACAGCAAAAATAATTTCTACAGACTCTCAAATTTCATATGAAAGCAACTCATATACCTGGGGACTTTCTAAAGGTGTATTTAAGAGCAGACAGAACTCATTTCCTCATCATCCTGACATTACACTGAGATTACTTCCCTTCCATCATCTGCATTGCACAGGGCAGCACACTTGGCCTGTGGTGCAGGCACACTGCTAATAGCTTCAGATGCAGCAAGTCGGGACCCTAAAATTTTCTTGGCCACGCCACTGCAGATAATAGCGGTTGTGTTGGAGTGTGGTGCCAGGAGATGTTTCTTCGAAGAATTCCTGTGACTCAGGCATAGGTTAGAGCAAGGGCAGGAATGTTTTCTTTGCCAGGGGACATACAGGTTATTCATGGACCGCAGAGTCACACAGTAATGCACCCTGTCCAATAATAACATGAAAAATATAATGTGAACATAGGAAGTGAGGTTAAGGACTCTTCCTAGTCACAGGCAAGTGCCTCCCCACCCCTCACCTAGGGCAAGCGGACTGCGCAGATTTTTCCGCCCCCATGTGATCTCTGCAACACTTCTACTTCCCAAAGGCTGACTCCCTGCTGGAAGCTAAAAGCTCAGTGCAGTTGACCACATAGTTCCCACTGATGCTGATGAGAGAAGTCTTCCTCATCCAGGGCTGAAGCTGAGCTAGACTGTGCCCACAGCATGTCTCATCTTCTGCTTTATAGGAGCTAATTGATATGATGTGATTATTATGTCTTCCAGTCATATTTCATTTTGTGAAATATTTATTGCTTGTATAATTCATCAGTGAATATACATAGATATACATATTTTTAAGGAGTAACTTTTTAGATGTAACCTTCACAGTACTGCTAGAACTGTAGATGGGGGGGGGGGGGGGGTGGAGGCAGGCAGAGCCTGCTTCCCCCCTGAATAAAGACTTCAGTTCTGTTTTAATTAAGCAAACAGTTTTTCAGAGCTGAGATCGCACCTTAATTATGTTTCCAAGCTTGGCTGCGATCGCAAGAGCTACCAACTTGTTTCAAAACCCTCCTGAGAGTCTCAGACCTCGCTGCCTCAGCGCCGTTTCCTTGGAACTTCACCCCCGAGCACGGTTTTCTTGCTGTGCCTTTGGCGTATCCCGCACCACAGTTCTCAGCCGCTCTCCCTCGGCCCGGCGGCTCAGCCAGACCCTCCTCGAGTGAGATCCGCCGCCATGTCGGGGTTTGCCGCTAGATGTCCCCGCCAGCCCCTCCAACCACCGCGCCGGGGGTCCCGCACCGCCCTCCCCGCAGCCCGGGCTGCGGCCGCCGAGACGGGTCCTCGCAGCGGCCGGCTCTAACGAGAGTCGCGGGAATTTAAGGGTGAAATGCTACTTTTGGGATGTTTCCCAGTTTCTTACATGAGGAGTCTTGAACGTTACGATGACTTTTAAAACCTACCAAGAGGAGGGTTCTGGCGTACTAGGCACTGTGTAGGGGACTGGTCCTGCCTCAGAGCTCGTATCGCCCGTCCAGGCAGACGCCACACACAAACTGCAAGATGCCAGTGAAGAGCATGTTCATCTTACCCCTTTTTTCTGTTTGCACGAAGCAGGCTGAGTTTAGGCGGGAGGCGGCCAACCCATAGGGCAGAGGGTGGATGTGGTATGAGAGGGTGGATTAGAAAAGAGAGAGATGCGGTACGAAGGAGCAAGCAGAGAAGAAGAGAAGAGCTGCCTTCTCAAAAGAGCCCTGCTCCAGGATTCCTGAATCACTCAGAGGCGCTAAGCTGGTGCCTTCTTACTGCCTGGCACTTCAGGTAGCCGAAACGGCCACCTGAAGAGCTGCTGCCTGGGGTGCCATGGCAGGGACAAACGCTCTGTAGGGAAGGGGAGAGGAGCAGAAGGGTGGGAGCGTCCTAGCTGGTTCCCCGGTTCCTTCTCTGGCTGCAGCTGCGGTTTCTGCTTTCCAGTAAGACGTATTATCTCCCTGCTACAGGCACAAGAGCCCCGAGTGCACCCCCGAGACATTCCTTTGTATTTCCCAGATAGGCAAAGACCCAAGTCAAAGAAAGACACAACACACAGCAAAGTGGAAACAGAGTCAAGGTTCCCTTCATTCTTACATATGGCAAAGCACCTTGGTGCTCAAGGGCATTGGCAGGAAAATTTTGCACTGCCAGGCTTGTTATAAGGTTGCCAGTCCTTCCAGTGAGGCTGTAGTCGGAGAACAGTTGCTACAGAGCAGCCAGAGTGAAGCAGCAAGGTTTCGTATTTGCCGCTGTGGTGGAGGGAGTCTCCCAGTGAGGGTCTCTGGCACTCTGCTGGCACCAGGTACTGGGGTCCTCTGCCAGGATGGCTCTAGGGTCCGCGGGATCCCACCTGGCAGCTACATGAAATCACCCAGCGCAGGGGTTTGTGAACGCTGTGCTGAAGCCACAGCCCTCACCTCCTGTCCACAAACGGCCCTTGGCCCCACAGGAGTGTCGCTTACTCCAAAGCCATTACGCAGCATACCGAAAGCCTTAGTCCAGATGACCAGTCTGTGGCATCGGTACAGCCATGCCCGCTCAGGCGGAAGTCCTGGCACACAGAGGCACAAAGCACGGCCCATCTCCCCTCTGCTGCTCCCTCTCAATACATATTTATGCCTGGGAGAAGCAGCTTGTTGGGTTTGTTCGGCTTTCGATGCAAGAGTACAAAACTATGATGCCGCCGCTCTGGAATCCTGCCTGACCTCTCCTACCAGCTGCCTCCAGCAAGGTTCGGGAGGTTTTTGGCACCTCCAGTTTTCCATGCTTTAGGTGGGAAATCCTAACATAACAGGCTGGCACCTTCCAAAGCAAGCTGTGCTTCTGGATCTCGGGCATCTTGGTCCGTGTGTCAGAAGGGTGAGCATTTACCCTACAGTGCTTCAGGCAGGTCTCCTACGGCAGAAAGCAGACAGGCAGAGGGGTTGGGATCACAACAGGCTGGTTAGCGTTTTCAACTAGTTGTAAAAGGTTTTAGCTGTCAGATGCTTAAGCTAAGGAATGGCATTGGGAAAAAAGAAGTTGTGAACTTTAAAAAACCCCACAGCAATACAAGCTTAGCCTTTCAAAGACTTCGGAGGAACCCCCCTCCGCCACATATCAGAGCTTTACCAAACTTCCTCCCAGGCAGTTTTTACTTCTCGCTGCCGACTCGGGATGCCGCCCCCGCGGCCGCCGCCGCCTGCCCGAGCAGCATTTCCCCCACCCCTCGAAAACTCGTTTTCCTTCCAGACGGAGGCGGGAGCCCCGTCTCGCCGCAGGCCCCCTTCCCTCCCCGGCCGGCCGCGGCCGCGGGTGCTGGTGCGGGCGGTGCGCGGCCGCGCAGGGCGCTCC